AAGTCGCGTATGATAACTTCAACCATTTTATTATTAATGAAAAAACGGTATATAAAATATAGTATGATAAAAAAATGAATCAAAAAATCTCAACTTGTAGTACAATGTTGTGCGTTATTCCGTTTTCGATTTTTTGCTGCGTAACAATGCTGAACACGAAAATAGACGCATTCTTACGCAATCAAAGTAGAAAATTATAATTCTTATTCATCTAGGAACGTGACGTGATGTTTTAATCATTGCTGGGACCCGAGCATGGACGTAAATATGCCGGATATGGGTTTCCTCAATAAGGGAGGTATATTGACCTTTGATTCTTTGAAAGACAATCGACTATTTTAGTAGGAGCACCAAATAATTATTGTGTTGTTGTGGAACAAATATCGATGCAAGCTTTTCATGTTTAATGAGAAAGGAATCGATTTTGATTACTGTGGTCTTTACTAGTTTTATTATCATATAATTTGCATTGTGTCCTCTTTCACGTAAGGTTTTTTCGTGCCGACGACGTAAGTTAATTTGGTGAGCTAGGAATAAAATATTATCGGATTTAAGTCAATTAATTAAGGTGCGTTCATTCTATTTAATATGTTTATTGACAAAGAATAAAAATGGATGTTTTGTAATAAGGTAACTTAATTTCGTATGATGAATTATTTAAAAATCCTTAGATAAATAATAGTAGTTAAGGATACGTAGACTTATAATCTTTCTAATTGTTAAAAACATGCGTGTATAATTAATTAAACTAATAAAATGACAAATATTAAGCTAAAGAGTAAAATGATTTTTAATTTCATCTTATATTATGATGGGCTTATATACAAACCAGGATATATTGGTCCTCCAAATTGGTATTGGGTTTATTTTTTATTTATTCTAAAACAAAAGAATCAAGCTTATTACTTAGTTAATAAAAGAAGATATTACAAAAAGTAGGACTCACCTTTTTATAATTTTAAAGCTTTGAAAAATTCTATTAAAAGCTAGTGCTCAAAAAATCGATAAATTTGATTGAGAAGCGTTATTTTTTAGCGTTTTTAACGACGGCATCTTCGAAAAGTTTGCCGGAATCTGAAAGTTATTTTGAAGTAAATTACTATTCTGAGGATTAAATGATCGTCGGTCTATAGGTAAAGGTAAATGAGCTTTTGCAATATTATGACTAAAATCGTAATTAAAATTAGTTGACGAATTGAATGAATTTATTTTATTTGTATTCTGGAAAGTTTCAAGTTGAGTTGAATGAAATCCTGATGTTACTGTTGATATTGTAGTTTGTAATTTAGGTTTCTTTCGCGGATTTTCATTTGACGATGATGTCGATGGTGATTCTTCTGTAGGATGACAATGCTGTAACTTAGAGGTATTGTTATCGTTAAAGTTGTTAATGGAATTGTTATTCTTGCTGTTGTTATTGTTATTAGTAATCGTAGTACTATGATTATTATCATTATCATTATCGTGGTGGTGATGGTGGTTGGTGTTATTATTATTATTATTATTATTATTATTATTATTATTATTATTATTATTATTATTATTATTATTATTATTATTA